TTAGTAATTTATATTTTTCTGAATGGGATAAATCTTTGAAATCAAAAATCTGAGACAGCTTTAAAATCAAAATAGCCATAAGCCAATCAATTCGATTTCTTTAATTATTACATTTTAAACATTTACTTCTGTTGCTAATTTGTTAAAAGTAATAGGAAATTTAAAGCCCAATTTATTTACAATTTATTCAGTTCATTTATTAATTTAATTCATAATTTGATCAAACTCTGCTAGTTTTTTGTTAGCTGTATAAACTAGAGTCAGATTTTTCTCATTTAAAAACTTTTAAGTCATAACTACATTTTCGCATTAATTTGACCAGTATTAAAGGAGCAAAGTTCTTCAAATTTCTTTTTATTGTGAAAATGGAGATTTCACTTTCACATTTATAAGTTTTCAATGAAATCTGTTCTATTTACGTATCTTAACAAAATAACATTTATGTTATACAATTTATCTGAATAATGTAAATATTGTATACCTGACTGGTTTTGTAAATATTTATATGTGATGAAAGAATAAGAAAGTAAAATTATTCAAACCTTAAGTAAAGGTATTGCAGAGTAAAAAGGATATTCAAATATTTTTTTCTATAAATCGATTTCTTTTATGCTATCGATTCATTTCCAGACATCTCAGAAAAATTAAATAAATATCATAAACTTGAGTTAAACCTTCAATTAAATAAGGATACTTCAATTAAACATAAACCTATCTTTTATCAAATCTGCAGAAAGCAAGGTTCGTAATTCAGTTTTTGATGTTACAGATTAGTGAATGTTTTAGAAACGTATGATAAGAAAATTATTCTTGTAAATTATTGCTTGTGAATTTACTGAAAATTTAGATTGTTTCTGTATGTACTATGCCTGAAGATAACAATGTTCCATTTTCTCTAACCAATCTATTTTAGTATACGAGATATACTTTTCTTAATATAGGCTTTTTAGTAGATAGTTACTAACATTTGCTTTCTCCTCTAAATTCCTGAGTGTAATAGAATTTGAATTACAATGTCCAGTCTTAGACCATGGTTTTTCGGTGTATGTTTGTAACAATCGTACTATTAAAGACATTTTTATTAATGCAGAAAATAAGCAAGGGCTAAGTGTAAAATATATGCAATTTACCGCTTCCTGACTTCATTTTAAGCATAGATACAGACACGATATTCATTTAACGCTATTAGAAGATTCATTTTCACACGTACTAGTACTGTAGAATTACTCACGTTATAGCGGCGCACCGTGTAGGAAGGGACTGGACACTGTACTAGATTTCTAGAACTTCCGTAGAATTGTCCATAGTTGAAAATGAAGCATAATAGTTGGTGATGATTTTAGCGATTACGGTTGCAGCATGGCAATGGATTTATTATTAGCTCTTGCATGATAGCATGATTATAGCTTTTAGATTTAATTTTTTTTTCAAAAACCTTTTGTTGCTTGTTGATTGTTCCCCCAGTATTTTTTATCCCAATTTATTTTTCAGCAATATTTACCTACACATCTCTTGAAGACATCATCAGCAAATGACAACACAAATATATAAAGATAAAATCAATCACCATAGTCTTTTATTACTTTCACTACTGAATTCAGTCATTCTAAGGGTTTCATTTATCTTAGAAATCAACTTTAAATGAAACATATAACACATATAATTCAATTCATAACTACCAAATTTAAATGCTGATTCAATATTTATGAAATACTTGTATTTTTTACACAGAGATAGTCAGCTATCCTTAAATATTAACTGTTAAAAATGAAATTTTAAATGAACAGATCTCAGTTTTGGCTTTTATCTTTTTTTGGAAGTGTTCATTTAATATGATTTTGATTAAACTATTTTATGTCGGATTCTAGGATTAATTGTATTCCTAATAATTCTGTTCCACTTCATATTTACCTTAGTTAAAGCTATTATATTAACTTAATAATGAAGCCACACGAAGTGTTTTTGAATCTCTAACATCTAAAATTTATGAACATTCAAAACACACATGATTCTGAGTCATTTCATTAAAAATATTTACATATTTCCTCGAAAGCGAAACGTTAAGCTGACAGTTAAGTTCGATTTATTCCCTTTATTTAAATTCAGATAAAAACGAAGGGAAAATTTTAGCTTTTTGAAATTCTAAATGTATATATATCCGTAATATGTATTTTTTAATATTTAATTTAATAAAATTAACATATTTTTTAATTTCTGCGTACATTTCGAAAACAATTTAACACTGAAATATAATTCAGTTTTTAACAATGTAACAGTAATGTCCCCTTAAGCACAGTTTGTGCAACGTAATGATAACAGATGAAATCTTTTCATGTTATAGGTTTGAAAACGGATAGTATAATAATAACGGATATTATAACGGATAATAATTCGGATAATATATTCTTTAGCTTCTTTGTTTTTAAGCTATGTTCTGAATTTATTTACTTAAAACAATTATTCCTTCAAATCTATGAGAGAAAGAGCAATTTTTCGATAAAAATAAAGAACTACCTTACGTATTTATCGAAGTTCTATATGTGACAGAAGATATACAAACACACACACACACACATATATATATATACATATGATATTTCGAGTTGAAAATATTACTTAGCATCTGTGTAAGAAAGAGTAATAAAAAATTTCAGGGTTTATTTGGCATCTTTGTGAGGAAAAAATAATAATAAAGATAAGGATTGAAAATTAACTACAGAAAATTCTAATGTGAGAAATCAATTCATAGAATCATTTTGCATCGAAATAAAGTTTTTAAATGAAGTGGCCATAAGTAACATATGAAAGAATACTCAAATTTAACTTAATTACCCAAGTTTATTAATTTATTTTTTAACTTTATTTTTAAACAATTAATGTTTAAATTTATATTTAAACAATTTTAAACAATTGATGTATTTTCGTTTAAAATTTCCGACACTCTTTCTTCCGAGTTTTGCAAATGCCAATAAATTAGTTTTGATTATTATAATGTCGACATTCATTTTGCTCTGCTACGTAAAACAAAACTAAACTTGCCATACAAATAAATGCTAAAAGATGCAGAAAAAGTTGTTCATGAAAATACTGGAATTAAAAGCATGTTCTGCGTTAATGGTACATCAAAATATCATTTCATTTTAGGACTTCAATCTACTCTCACTAAATAGTAAAAACTCAAAATTAAAATACTGTTTCCAACATTTCACTAATATTCCCAGACTTTTTATTATAAATTAATCACATGAAGCACTAATTAAAGTAGTCATATTCCCCACATTCTTTACCAGCTTACAGCATATTCTGAAACCGAATAGAAATTAACAGACCATGATTTTTCTGCGAAAAGAAAACATTTTTCGTCGACTTCACACCAAGACTTTTACCATTTTTAAAAGGCCTGCCAAAAATAGTTGTCTGGAATACCTAGCTGAAGATGGCAAGACAAGAAGATGCTGCCTCTGAAACGTGAGTAAAAGAAATGCAGAAAGTCACTACCTTTCTATCTGCATCTTATTTCGAATGATTTGCTTTTTCCTGCATGCATTAATTTATGAAGCATTTTTTTTTTTTTTTTCTTTTTCCTTTTTCAAAAACTGCTGGAAAAGCAATTTGCACCCTTCGCGTTATATTTTATATGCTCCTTAGCTTAAAATGAAGTTCCTAAATATATTAATCTCAGGAGATAAGACTTCAAAAAGTCATATGTTATACTGCTGCTTTTATTTCATTTTTTTTTAATTTGCTACCGCTTCGCTGTTTGCTTAATTTTGTATTAAATTTCAATTTTTTTCTGTTGCTATTTTATTGCTAGATATAATTCTAATTTCAGTCAGAAAATTTATCAGTAGAGCTGCGATGATTATATATGTGAAAAATCTCTTTCATTTTACACAGATGATGTGAAAAAAAGTAAATATATGGTTTCAACTCTTGAACTATGTTTTCTTAAAAGTCTTTAATTCTTTGTAACACCCTTATTTTTGTATTTATAGTCCCTCAATATACCTTCCTTCTCTAATAATTTTCCCGCCTTCCTCATTAGTTAATAAAAAATTAGACAGAATATTTTACACCTCATATTAATAACTAACGTCTCTTCTTATGATACTGCAGGAAAATATCTAGAGTTAATTTTAATATTTAATGATTATTTCAAATTTACCCACATTTAACTGATTGCTTGATATTCTAACTGTATGTTGCCTATTTTTATTATTTTCTGATATTAACCTAAAGATACATTTTTGTAATAATTAACGTTAATAATTGTAAGATTCTTTGTTACCATATCTCATATTTAAAAATTATCAGCTGCTCTGTGTAATGTATCATTATCGTTATTATTTCAGTAAAACGTAAAAGAAATTTAATTTTGTGATAAAAAACAGTTGCTAAATTTATGGGAAAGCCATGTTTGGAATAGCTCACAAAGTATTGCATTTATTTATGACTGCATTCAGTTATTATGCAATGAGTTCGCAATTGCACTCTAAGGTGGACATTTTCGTGTTTGATATTTCGTATTAGGAACAGAGTGAACATAATTAATTAGTATAAAGTAAAGTTTGTATAACATATATTAAGTAAGCTTCCTTTTGTTACTTGGTAACGTGTAATTATAAAATGTATTATACTTTCTAAGGAAATATACCAATGAAATAAATTCCTTTACTTTTATTTAAAAATCAATAAAATTTACTTGTATTTACACAGGTTAATTTAATTAAAAACTTTAGATTAAACAAATCATAAATATCAATTATTAAAAAATAAAATTAGATGAAAGTTTTCGATTTTTACCTGCAGTAAATATTTGATTGATATACTGACACCCATCGATTATTTATTAATTATATATCTGGATTTATATTTAATGTTTTTAATTTCTAAAATTTAAGTTCTAATTTAATAGCTTTCCTATCGGTTTGCATTTTAATTCTCAGAATGCGTAAAAGTATGTCATTAATTTACATTGATAACCTACTTGAATTTTGTAGGCTTCCACGGTTTCAGCTACATTCCTTCACCAGCGGCCACTGACCACCAAGCAACGGCCTTCTTTGTGGACGCCTTCTCTGCCACAGCAGTGTCTACTGCAGCCGCCCTTGCTAGCCACATGACTAACGTGGGCCAAACGGAGCCACCGGCGGGCCTAGCGCCTATGGGGAGTTCCCCCATAAAAAGGGGACATCCTTTCGCTCCGCAAATCCCCACTGGTAAGCGTCTTGAATTTCTAAAGCATCCCAGTCATAATTTGATTCGTTGTACTTATTTTCCTACAGTCTGATACAGAAAAAATATATTCTAATATTTTATTAATCGTTATTTATATCACAAAGGAAAAGAATGGAATACATCATTTACGTGCAATTATGAGACATTAATCTTTGAAGCTGAAATTTATGAGCTAAATATCTAGTTTTTGTATTCAAAATACATATTTAGGATCTGTATGGGCAACCATTGCTCATTTAGACTGGTGGAAATTAATGGCTTGATGACTTGCGGGAAATTAATGGAAGCTAAATAATATCACTGCATAAGAAAGAAAATCAAAAGATTGTATACGAAATCATCGCATTCAATTTCTATTATACAGCACATGAATATTTAAAAAATTATTTTTTATATCTGCAGTTTCACATGTTGTTCCTTTAAAAAAAAATGAATCATTCTCAAATTTTCATGCTCTAAAACAGGAGAACTTATACATGAATTTCGAAACGAAGGGAAGCTGAGCATGAAATATACAAATCATTTCGAATTGTGACGTTTAACACCATTTGGCTTCTTCACTTACTGGTTTGCAATCATTATTGTCCGAACAACTAAACCAGATTATTTCTGCTTATAAAAATATTTTATTATTCAATGTACTCAATCATAATTGTTATATAAAAAAGACTAACCTACGGTAAATCTTTTATAATAATGGAATCTAATAATAATGGAAATTATCCTGAAACTGTCTATATTCATGAATCAGCAAGTACCTTCATTTCTCGATAGTTATTCATCGAATTATCCATTCGCAACTTTAACACCAGTATTAACACTAACGCATTTTGAATGTCGTATTACCTCATCCTGTTTTATTCGAAGAACAATTAAATTATAGATTTAAATCCTGAATCTTGATTTAACTATCAAGAGAATGAAACTTCTCTAAAGCTTATGAGCTTATGTTCTAAAGACCTTGTAGTAAATTCGGTAATTCTAATTGTATAATTATCGTTTTCTAAATTTACTTGCTAAATCTGAGACCGATAAAAACAGAAGAAAATATGAGACTTATTAATCCAAACTTTCTCATAATTATTCAATTACTAGCGGAAGTACCCGATGGCAGTTACGTTAGATTGAGAGTAATGCATCTAACAACAGAAAGAACGATACCGCTGGTAATCCTTCTCTAATAACTATGCAATACGATTCATAGTCATACATTTTTCAGTCTGATGCGATATGGAACCCACATAAAAAAATTTCGATAGAAAAATAAACTAATTTTCTCTCATTATATCAGCAACAATGGCGCGCAGTTTTTAATGATTTTCCTTTTCCTCTTTCTAATCAAATGGTCGTAAAAGCTCAAGTTCCATCCAATATATCACTTGTATTCAATTTTACTCGATTAAATGTGGCAAAAGCATTGATCATAATTTATCAGAAATCAATAACGCGAACAAACAGACATTCTTCTTTATATGTATAGATTTTGCAAAACTTACAAATGTTGTAGTACTATATCTATATTATACTATATCTATTACTATATCTTTTTTTTTTTCAACTAGAGGCTAAATTTATATTTTGAGGTGAGATTATGAGTATTTATTGACAAATATGTCGTGTTTTTTATACACATACCATTTTTTTTTCTTTTATAGCCATTGCTGTAAAATCAAAATTTTAGTCGAAATTCAAATATGGGATTTCTGAAGTTCATGAACATCAAAACTTATAAATGACCTTTCTACATCATATTCAAATTCCTTCTCTATTTTAAATATCATTCAATTGTTGGGATTTATTGATTGTTGTTACCTAAACGTATAGAATATGGATGAATTCAAGTAGGGGAAATTTCAACTGTAATCTTTCTGTAATGCGAAATACTCAATATCACTCTCATCATAGAAAACAAAAATCATAAAGAAGAAAAGCAGTTTAGTCATAATGCCTTCTTCCTAGATACATTGTTATTTTTTGGCTATCTATGACCGACAGTGTTTGTTGTGGTCATTTTCAAAGTTTCCATTATAATGGTTTTCTTTCTAGTGATCAACAACTATGGACCTCAAGGATTTGCCACCTCTCCCTCCCCAGCCAACAACCGAGTCTTCCCGGCAACCAATAGTCCTGGACCGATTGACATCTACACTTCCAATCAAGAGGGTGTCAGCTATGTTCAGGACCCGAGTCCTCAATCGTCAGGATTTCCTCCAATAGCTGTTAATAGAGTATGGAATTTCTCTAATGTTCATGCGCTCATTCTTGTGGTCTTAATTATATGAATGATGTGATTTTTAACTCAGTGAATGATTTATGCCAGGCGTCGGCCATCTTTTTTGGCTCCGAATCAAAATCAGCCAAACATTTCGAACGAAACGTACGAAAACGTTTCGAGTCAGGGGTATTATCATTTTAGAACGCCTTTCTTGACGAATAATAAGATATCTTTTATCGAGAAAATAAGGCAGTTACATGTTTCCGCAACCACTTTAGTAGAAGTTGCCAAATTTTTAGAAGTCACCGAACTCTGGCAACCATGCGCATAGCAGTTCTTTAGGTAACCATATATATTATAAGCTGCAATTCGAAAGTTCCCCGAATCACTTTTTCCTTCTGTAAAAATTCGCCTCTTTGCGCCAAAGTGGTTGCACTAATACGTAAATACCGAAAACGATCACAATACGCTTCAGAATTAAAACGTAAGGATTAAAATTATAATTCTAATTATTATAAAAGCAAACATAATTGAACATAATTGAATGAACTTTATTTTCCTCTCCGACATCAGTGTCTTCCCTGATGCGAATTTGTGACGTCAATTTAGTCAAACGTGGCTTGTGATTAGCCGCCTTGAAAAAAATACAAGCATCTGAATTTTCGGTAGTTAAGCTGCTCCTGTTCTTACTTAAAATAATTTCATGGGTTAAAATATTTGCTCGTATTTATAAGTTGAACCGAATGCGGACAAAATGGCTAAGCCAACTATTTGGAATTATGGAATAAAAAGTCATCCTGCAGGTTTCATTCATCTCACCATAACGAGTGAATAAATACTCGTCATTTGTTATTTCATCTACTTTACAATGTGAAATAACACAAACAAGTGCTTGATGCTTGATGCAAGCGCTTGATTCAGGCTATGAGCCATAAATTTTACTATTCATCCTCCTATCCTTAAAGTTACTATTAAAGATAAAAATTCCGTTTTTAAAAGGTGCTTTCATGATTACGCAAATGAATTTGAAACAGTGAAATATGTATGTTTACCTTATAAGGTATTCGTGGTGTAGTGGTCAGCACGCTCGACGCATATTCGAGAGGTCCGTGGTTCGAGTCCCGGCGAGGCCATTGCTCATTTTTCATATTTCCTGCTTCCAAAATAACCTAATGTCTTAAGAACCTTGCAAAAAATGCATTCACAAAGAAGATAAAATAGTCTAAAATAGAGTATTTGCTTAACGATAAATCGTCAAGTAAAGAGTCAAGAAAGTGTTGTTAAATAATGCGTGATTCTAAGTGTGGAATGACAATCGGATGCAATGAATTAAATATGATTTTCATTTCAGGGCCCGCTGATTGCTGCAGCTTTTACTAACGGCTACCACTGAACAATAAATGGATTTCACGATTTCAGGTGAGAATTAAAAATGTAATGGATAGGCTTTAAATGATGAATATTAACAAAATACATGTACCGAAGTAAAGTAATTGCATGTATGTTAAAGTGAAACACGGATGGTTAAATAAACATTCCATTTCAGTATTCGACCTTGTTTTTGTAAACAGGCTTGCAACGTTTTTGAACTAGTCATGTATCAATTTAGTAAAAATCAGTTTGAAACATTATTCAAATTCAAATTATGTTTATCAAAATCTTCAAAGATCATCAGTTTATTATGTGATCTGTGACTTTTTTTATTTAGAGATTTTTATAGTAGTAATACGTAATATAAATTGAAAACCTAATAATCACTACAGTATATCATAATAATGTATAATTTGCTGAATAATAATAATTATAGCTTTTACTAATAAGGTAACATCGAAACTTTTTTTGCTGATATTTTTCTGTTTGAATATATTTCACAATAAAAGTTGATCTTAATAATAAAAGTCTTATTAAATAAAAGGTATGATGAATAAAGATCTTAATAATAAAAGCTGTAATTTAAATAATTACAGCTTTTATTATTAACGAAACTTCGAAATTTTTTTCGCTCACCTCCTCGAATATATTTGGCTAAAAAATATAAAACATATTATTAGGATGTTACGCCTACATGTTATTTGGCTTAATGGAATTTATCAAAAAGCCACAAAAACCTTCAAACAATAAATTAATAATAAAAAATAAAATGTGAAAGATTTCATTTTTTACATTACGCCCAAACGGGCCTTTTTTTTTTTTTTTTTTTTTTTTTTTTTTTTTTTTCCCATTCATTTACAGATACATACACGTTTCGAGATCGTTTGGGCTAGCGCCACTTTGGGCTAAAAATGTTTAAAAACAGCATATCTTTAGAATTTACCATAGACAGTCTCGCGCACTGGTGATAAAAATGTTTTATTCCGTACAGTGTTCCCACTGCTCGCTTTGAAACTGTTGAGCTTTTAATCAAAATTTTGTTAAAGTTTTACAAAATACGAAATAGGAAATAAAACAAATTCGAAATTCAAGATTTGGGCTTCCAGGTGGCCATGCTCGGATGGTGAACTAAGCTATTCCATGTTTGATGGTTCTAGGTATCGGTTTTTTTCCCCACAATGCAAGACACTTACATAAGTTTATGCAGATTCTTCATTATTAATTTCTTTAAATATAATACAGGGGGATAATATTTGATGGCAACTATTTGAAAACTAATACAGCCGTTTAAAGTGATTCGACGCAAAATGCAGTGTCGATACTATTAGCCCTTCCGGGCTAACGCCCCTTGGACTAAAAATTTTTAAAAATAGCCTCTTATGTCTCTCTTTAAAAATTATTGCTTTGATAAATGAAAAAAATCTTTAATTAAGCGTTCCAAATATTCCAGCAACTCATTGATCTATTGTTAAAAATATTAATTTTAAATTTATCTTATTTTATATGAAGAAAGATTTAAAATTCTTAACAAAATGTTTCCTGATCCATAGACTAAAATACTATAGAACTGAACTAGAAGAATGTTTATCAGCTTACAGTCTGATATATAATAAAATCTTAAACGTTCTGAGGTATTATTTAGGAAATAATACCTTTATAATAATCAAAAGGTATTATTTCCTAAATAATACCTTTTGATTAGGGAAAAACAAACATTTGCACGAACTGTGTCGTCTATTCAGTTCATCACTTTCGAAGGGATAATACGTAACTTATACAAAAGCAAGCATTCTCTAAAAAAAAAATAATTAAGCTTTCTATCCATGAAATGCATGAATAATACCATTGTACGCTTTATTTAGATATTATTAAACTAGCAGAAAAATAAACAGGAACCATACGATTTCAACTACTCTTACTTTTTATGTAATTTATTGCTATACCGTTTATACTGTTATTATCAAAAGTATTCATTTAGCATATTGCTTTTTATTATGAATGACTATATGAATTGCACCTGTAGTTATTGCTGACTCTTTAATGAACTAAAATAACTTCCTCAAGTAAAATTTAACTCTTTATAATAAATAAAATAGCTTATTTTATTTTAAACAATAGCTTAATGAAGCTGTATTGAATATAAAAGTTTAAATTTGTCTATCCATAAATTTTACTGAAATACATGAAAACGTGAACAATCAAAATTCATCTCAGTTAGAAAATTATGTTAAAGAATTAATGATAACAATCAATGCTACTTAAGCATAACACTGCAATATGAAGGAAAAACATTATTCAACTTATTATTAGAAAGCAAATACGTCACATGCTATTATGGTATTTCTAATTTACTTACTTTAATCAGGTTGGTTTAAACGTAAGTACCATGACATTTAAGATTTTCTATCATACATCAGGCATATGGAATTTAAAACGTACTTGTGTGGAAGAAGCTTTATTTTTCTCTAACTATTATATACCTTACATAGAAGTATTACAAACTGACAAGAATGTCAGATGAAAAGGTGTGACAAAGACTTAGTTATAAAATCTGAGCAATCCCAGGACTATCAATATAACTGCGCAGCTTACTTCCCTTCAACCTGAATTCTCTTATGTGTAGAATTTTAACTGATAATGCCATTATGCGAACGCTTTATGCATTATGTCTCATGAATTTCACACTGTTTTACAAATTTAAGATTATTTTCCAGAATTCCATTTGCGTTGTCCTTTCAGATACTTTTGTTGATGGTGGATTGAAGGAAGTTAATAGATATAGAGATACTTGAATAATTTATTCAGATGATTAATTTTGAGCCTACTCGCCATGAATTTGGAAGTATAATAAATATAATTATTTAATTCCAAGGTCTTTTTATTATCCTAGTGAACGTTCAGTTGGGATTCAGGCAGTAGTAGTACATTTTACATTCCACAATAAGATGATAGCAGAGTAACATATACTATACGTTTGAACCTCTAATGTCCTGATTAAAACTCATCTGCAGTCGAAATTTCTAATGGTCTATTTTTCCTTTTCGAAGTACTAGGTTGGCAAGGTAATTTCGGTTTTTATTGTGAAATAAAATTCAATTTTTATATCTAAAAATTAATGTCAAATATCTTCCATTCTGTTAAATGACCCTTTGAAATTTTTCTTTTAACTTCAGGATTCCACAATTATAGAACTTCAGACATTTATAAGCAAAAAACTCGGCCAAGTGCAATTTGAGGTTATTGTTATTAGTGAAATTTTTACCATTTAGGATGTACTGCAAAATAAATGATAATCTGACTTTGCAAGGTCAAGGCTATGTGGAGGATTGGACATCTTACCCAATCAAGCTCCAATAATTTCGTACATGTGTTGTTAAAGATGTATGAGGCCTCGCACTGTCGCTGGAGCTGCTTTCTCCAGTTTCATAAGTTGTTCGCAATAGACATCTGAGTTAATCGTTTGGTTGGTTGGAAGCAGCTCAAAATATACAACACCTTTTTAATCCCACCAAATTGACAGCATGTTCTTTTTCTAATGAATTTAGTTTTCGATGTAATTTATGCTGATTCATCATGCTTGGACCGTGATCCTTTTCGATTAATAATTGTTTTAGATGATCTATTTTCCTCACCAATGATAATTCGTTTAAAAAAAAGGGTCGATTGCATTACGTTTGAAATTGTATCGCAAATATTGATTCGTAGTGTTAAGTGAATTTCTTTCAGTTCATGCGAAACCCAAATATCCAGCTCCTTAGCGAATCCAAGACATCGTATGTGATTGTCAATTGTTATGTGTAATACTCTAAAAGGTGAAGCTTTTAGAAAATTCACAGTTATATGATGAGCACATTTATATGACGATTCAATTCTGGCTTTAATTTTGCTATAATCAGCTTGGAAAGGTGAACCAGAATGTTGTTATTCATCTTCAAATACAAAATCTTCAGACGAAATTTTATAAACCGATTCTGACACGTGCGTTCTGTTAAGCAATCAATACCATAAACTTCATATACCTCTTTTTGAACCTCAAGTGCAGTGCTTTCTTACCTTTATGAAAATAAAATAGTAAACTATGTCGAAAATGTTTATTTTTGAATCCCATGTTAAAACTAATCGTAAATTCACAGTTGTACACAAAAATACACGGAATTTCTTTCTATAGGAACCTAAAAGTATCAGCTGTCAAATCTCAAAAGAAAAACGTTATAATATTGACAAAAGACTAACAAAACGAACATTACGCTATCTATTTACTCAAAACGAGGGCCCACCAGCGGCCGAGCGGTAAAGTCGCTGAACACTGGTAGTTCGGTCCGAGGTTCGAATCCCGCGAACGGGCTGGCTGCATGGGTGTTTTCGTGGTTTTCCCCATGTGTAACGTGTATAGGAGCCAGTTTCCCTTAGAAAGTCCTCCACGAAGGCATCTCTCCCCTTAGGCTAGATAGCCCTAGTGTGCTTTGCCATAATTAAATACATTACTCAAAACGAAATTACTTTCTTGCCAATCCAAATCGCTCATTTTTAACGCTTTCATCAAATGTAGTAATTATATGATGCAGAGATAGAGATAATAATTATTCCAGTGAAATGTATTACACAAGTAACTTGTTTTGGGTGAGAACATTTTGATAAATTTTCATGAAGATGATTCCAGCTACAGTTTGACTTTCACTTTAAATCAACAGAAGAAAAATATATTTTTCTTCATTAAATCACTAAATATTATTACAATTTAACTGGATAAAATTTCTCTTGAAAGTAAGAGAGGAGAAATTTGGGACTGTAAAAAAATATAAATTCATGCATGAGTTATTATCAGAAAATTTGTGTATTCTTTTCAAAGTCTCTGTGCCTATGAGCTAATAAAATACCTTCGTTATTTCGTTAGAAATTCTTTATTCGGAGATTTCTATTAGCATTGAAATTCATTGGCTACATTAAAGAAGTTTTCTGTAAACAGTTACGTAACTTTGTACTGTATAACTTAACTACAAATAATTCTTGATATAATTTTTAAACACATATAAGACGTCTTATGTTTTAATTCAGTTAACTAATCTGACTGGATGTTCATGTACGGATCATCAGAGAATCATGTACAGATTATCAGAGAATATAGCGTCACAATAATCGTGTGCATATGTTTTAAATAATATGAGAGTTTGCTGATAATTTAGACCACTCTACAAAATTTGGGAAAATTAAGGTTTTGAGTTTTAATGGCAGCACTTTATCCCTAATCGTACTGACTTAGTGCTTTTCGCGATGGTTTATTTTTGAAGTTGGATATTCAACAGTTTTGCTTTAACTGCAGCTGTCTCACTGAAATGCATTAATTTCAGATAGTTCAAATTATCTCAAGTTTAATCATCAGCATATTGTGAGGAACTATGTTTCAACAAGGCATTCTTTTACTTGTGACGTTAGGAATAATTGTACCTGTATTACAAATGGACAAGCACGGAGAAGTGAGTTATGCAATATATCAATGTATAAATAATATTTTTGTTTTAATTATATTTTTCTTTTCCAGCGCCTGAAGACGCTGAGAGAGTGCGTGAAGAAAATGAGCCTTTTCGCAACCACCTGTTAATGGAACCCTTTTTACTTCGAGCACTTTGAATCATTCACCAGTCACCATTGTCCTGATTTCCTTTCTGTTGTTAATGTTGTTGTTGTTGTACCTCTACTACATCCTCACCCCGAACGTCGAAAACGAATCCTTATCGTACCGTTCGAAGACAACCTTCCCAAGTTCAAATCTCGAAATGTTTGTAGCTTTGCATATTCCAATGAGTTAAAAGTATTGTTTGTTTGTCGACGTTTTGGAGACGACGTCGACTGTTTACCGAGCACTCAAAACCACTTGGGACCGCAGACTTTTCATGAAATAGACGTGCTAATGACGTTTCGTGAATTTTTGTAAAAGTTTTCGTGCTCGAATTATAAGCAATAAATATTTAAAAAAGAGTTACTGAACTCGCACGATTCACAAACAGTAGTGCTGCACTGAAAGAATTGAGTGAAGAACTTATACCTCAGATGCATCAGAGATTCATTTTATTACAAATTCAGAAAGCAGAGGTTGTGTGCATATATTTTCAGTTTGAAAATGACTGATTATAAAGCTTGTTGTAATGACTGCTTCGCAGATACGAAATAAAGTAAGTTCTCAGTATTTTCAGTTGGCGGTGGTAGGCAAAGTTGCCTTCCTAGCAACTTGAAAAATTCGATAACAAGTGTTAAATGGTGATACTATAATCTGTTTATGTTTAAAAGTGTTGATTGTATATTGTATCCTTATAATCACATGTGGATATATAGACTTGGAAAGTAATCTTTTTGAATGTCTGTGCATTGTGAGTGGAAGGGTGATATCTCTTTATGTACACCTAAAGCAATACAAAAATATTAAGCTTTACGCTTATTGTCGGCTCTACATTTTACAATACGAGCAAGCTGTTTAACATGAATCATTTATTGAAATTTTATTATCTCTTTCTGTTCGTAGAATAGTCAATAGTCCTAAAAACCCCCCAGAACAACAGTTTTTTTTGGGGGGGAGGGTTTTGAAGTTCTGATAAGAATTAAAAGATAGATTTTTACTGGTGAATTATATAAAACATTTTATAGCCAGCCCACATTCTATTAAGTCTGTTAGTAGAAAGGGAACACTTGTTCGCATTGTGGGGGGAGGGGGAGAGTTTTGTGAAAATTTTGATTCGACGTATTTTAGCTCTTTAGTTATTTAATTCTATTCACCTTTTGGTGAAAGAAAGTAACAATGAATTGACATTCTCGTTGACTGTTGCTCGTATTGCAAAAATAAAACGTTTTACAATGATAGCTTAATGTAAAATGTTCGATGCATATGAAATCCTAGTGCTTTAATTTTGCTATATTTTAATTATATTTTCAAGTACGTCAGTTTTATAAATTGTTCTTGTCAATAACACATAAATCTTGTTATCTGCACCATATATTGTGAGTGCTCCCCTATGTATTCAATGTGAGCACCCCTTCTATAATGACAGTCATTTTTTTTCTCTCGAAGAGCAGTCATTAATATACTTTGGGAAGCTAACTTCCTAGTTCCTAATGAAACGGCACTTCCATTATGACTGCTCAGGAAAGCTCGAAGGCTATCAAATCATTCTGCGCAGTACTTTGGAATTTTGTATTAAATGTTAAACGTTTACTTTTTTAAGAGTAAACCGGAATAGTAGTATTGGCATTCATCGACAGATGGCACCTGAAAACAGCATGTGCAATGCTGCGCATGAGAACTTGTTTCCGATATTTTCAAAAAGAATAATTTTCCCGCTATTTTTACAGTGCTAAAATACTGATTCTACATTTACAGTATTCTGAATGCCTGAAAAATCACTTTATTTTAACCAAAGCAATATATGGTTAAAAAATGCTACTTAAATTTGTCTTAGAATTTTACGTAGAAAGTAGAATTAGAGGTTGTGTACGATCAAGCATCTGCGAATCCCACCAAAATGATCTTCCACTGTTGGACAATGAATGTCAATTCGGGTAAACATCTACATTGCAATAAGCCATCAGACGTACTTTAGCTGTTTGAAAAATATTTTTATATGAAAACATTTCCTTATTTTCAAGTGATGTTTTCATAGTCTGTAGATATGTGTGTGAGCAACATAAGGCATCTTGATATACGTATGTATGTTTTAGAAAGCACATTCCTGTTTCTTGGTAATCGTTAACGATTCGCATTTCTGTGTTTCAAACGCTAAAATCTTATATATAATATGGAAATAAGTGTTTAAAAGCTTTCCGGTTTCTTTATATACTTTTATTCATGCTTTTTGAACAGAATACTTTAATTTTGCAATGCGTCCGTCTCATAAGCTAACTAATAGAAATGAGATGATTTTTTTTTTCAATTTTAGTAACAGTCATAAACAATACTTTTTTGCTTCGTTCTTTTCGCTAAAGGATATATTCTGATGCGTTAAACGTTTAATACCTATGTACATTAAATAACAAAAGTGTTCAACTTCCTCTTGTTTCAGCAATATACGACAAATGCAATATCTAGTTGCGCAAAACAACATTAAAAAATTATATGATGTTAAAAAATTGGCACTGAAAAGGACGTTACCGCTTGATTTTTGGATTAATTTCTTCGGATAATTTCAGATACAATATTAGCAATTAAAATGAAGATACTACGTTTTTCAAATTTCAGATTCATAAGTGTTGAGGGTATTCACTTTATCAAATTCTGAATATTTATCTCGGAAATGATATTTATGTCAAGATTGTCACAGTGAACCCAAATGTGTTCAGAACGCATACAGTTCTGGCAAAATTTTTTAAATAACAAATTCCAAAGTACTTCGCTAAGGAAGGTTAATTCTTTCTATTCTCATACCTCTTTCTTAATATAAAATGACAAGCTTGCTTTGGGTCGCTTTTTGATTAGTGGAATTTAATACTTTGTTTATGTAATTGTTTATAAGATGATAACTCAGATTTCATATCATGTCAAGCTTATAACACCATAAATGTTAATTGCCAATCATCAATCTTTATGAGGTTCGTGCTTCTAGAAATGAACTTCATTTGTTTTTATTACGAAATTATTAGACGCACGTACAAAATTTTATAACTATTACATCTTTAATAAAGATCGAAATTATTCTGCGTTTTAAATTTAAGTATCTGAAAAAACTGAATTAATGTTGTTCATATTTTTCCGATGGCAAATCTTTAAAGCCTCTTGCGAATTCGAGTTTCTGCCTAACACCAATATTTACAAATAATGTAACGACAAAGTAAAATTAAAATTACAGCAACATCAAACTTGAGAGATAAAAATTAAGAATACATAGAAAACTGAAAAAAAAAATAATAATCAGAACCAAGGAATTTTAAACTCCTAATTAAGCAACAAATCTGAGAACTTTCATATAAAATTCTGAATAACTCATATTGAAAATTAAATTTATATTTATTAAATTTGTTACATAGAAATTTTTACATGTGTTTTTAATTGCAATCACGCTATCTTATCATTAATCGATCCAGAGCAAGCTTAGAATTTTAAGCTAATCATTAGCTTAAAAATGGATTCCCCTGCCATTTTATTTGGATATAATTTCGATTTCATGTTCCTTAGATGCTCACATACTGAAATTTTCGATGTTATTTGTGGATTTTTCGGTGTGGGAAGCACTCTAATTCTTATTAGTACCTGTACAGTATAGGAAAGGAGAAGAAAGTGCGAAAAATCATAAATGTACAACAAAAAGGATGATATACACTTGATGCACTTACTACTTAGTAGATGTAGATGATAACAAATGGATGTTTATTCCGCAAAAGCAATAGCAACACTCCTCTGCATTGTGCAGGGGCGGGTGCATTATATAACATGTACTATTTTCGAGTGTATTGTATCGTGCAACGTGATCGTACGTCAGTACGTGATTTATATTTCTCGCTTCCTAGTGTGCCTCAGACAGATGTGTTCCACAAAGAATTCGAGAAATGCCTACGAAAGTGGAGGAGTGTCTCTTCCACATGTAAGCTATGGCTTAAAAATATGCAACATTTTTTGATATCTTGAATTATTCTTTATAAATATCCAACTATTTTAATTTTGTTCCAAAGTTTCCGTTTTAACCATGCTAACTGCTTCTAGATTTTTTTTAATTAAAATAGATGTGAAGAGGAGCATCTCCTAGAACAAAAGTATTTTCTTAAATTATAAAATAAGGTAGAAAAATCTGAATTGCAGATGAAAAAAATTTCTTTGTTTAAAATATGCTGTATTGAAACAAAAGAAGGGATGCAAAGACAAATCGAAGTTTAGGTAACGTAGATTTAAAGTTTTAACTTTGAAAACGCTAAGGCAAATTAATCTTCCAGTAGGCATGTTCCTCTTACATCTGTTAAAAATGTGTAATTAGTAATAGAATGGATTCGTTGAAACAAAATAACAGACTAATATAAATTCTCTATCTCCCTGCAGAGTTTAGAAGATATTTTCTATGACTGAAGAATTTAACTGCTAATAAATATCATTAATAACAATAATAATAGTTATAGATTTGTTAGCTCAGATTTTAAAGTTAGATTGCCCCCTCTGATATATAAAATTTTCAGAACATGAAGCAAAATCAATTATCATACATATTAAAATGATATATAACATTTTCACCAATATTTAGAAAAATGTGCAATACAAAATAAGTAAAAGACCATGGATAAAATTGTATGCATGAAACGGTTAGGAAAGCAAAAGTACAAAACAACTGTACAAAAAGGGCTTTTCATTATGTCGTAACAACATGACATGTAAAGAAGTGGTTTTTTTTTAATATGAACTATTTTTATTTCATAAAAGTAAGAAATTTTAAATTATTAATATAGTAGAAAACGTTATAAAGTTTTAGATACTTGGGGGTAACAGAGTTAAAACTTTTATTTGTGGTCATACAGGAAATGATCAAACTTGTATAGATGTATGTAATTAATTTATATAATCAGCCTAAAACTAAAAGACGAGAATAATATTTAATTTAAATTAGTCATTAGAACAAAAAAAATCTGCACATGAATACACATCTAAAATTAAATTTATTCAAATATAAAGCTATGATTTTTTGTTTTTTCATATTTCATGCACATATAACAAAATACTCTTATGGAATAACACAAGAATATTTTTAGTTAATTTTTAATTAGTTTTTAATTAAAAGTAATCAGATGTTTTAGCTATCTTATAAAAATAAGATATCTAAATCATATGATCTCTTTTTCTCTAACCATAAAGTAATTTTAACATGCTTTTAACTTTTAAAACCAAATTTTCAACTTTTTATCATTAAAACATAAAAGAAAGTTTCAAATTATTGTGCGATGCTGTTTATTTTGAAATATCTAACAATTTCATTTTGACAAATTAATTTTTAATATATACTAACATATTAAGAGATAAAATCTTCAACTTAAACAAAACGAAAATAATTAATTTTTTTATAATAGAATTTCATTTCAAAAAGAGACTAAAGCATTTTTCAAAGTTAAACAGATTACATTAAAATATTCCCATTTTCGCTTCAAAATTTGCAGGTGAATATAAAACACCTCGCGTATTAAAAGGTGTGTGTTATTTAAAATCTCAGTATACTGACATATGAGTCATTGCTTTGGAATTTAAGCAGAGTATTCGATTGCGTTTCAAAATAACGAAGTAGCATGTTTGATGTTTCTCAGATTTTTTAATTTTATTTATATTTCTTTAAATTAAAAAAAAATCAACTAATCAACTGTCTTAGCTGAAATTAAGATTTATATATCAAAACAAATATTTTTAAGTAAGTGATATTACATGCTTCATTCATAGAAAATTTCATATCTTACTTTATTTTCTTGTATTAAACACTTAAATCTTAAACACAATAAGCATACAATAAACCTTACTTTATTTTCATGTATTCATTTAACTCAAATTAATGCACGTTATGTACATTAATCTGATAATTAATTTTGATATTATAACTTCTGAGAAATGCGCCTTCTTTTGTTCTGTGATGAAGCTAAAATTTTAAGAAATAAATTAATTTAGGAAATAAATTTTTCATTAAAAACTTCTGAAATAATTTTTATATCGTACATTGCATTTCATAAGCCTTTCTTTTCAAACAGTTTCCGTAACAAATATATTACAGCTAGAATTCGGTGTTATTTCTAAAACCAGAATTTTATCTCGACAATCAAAATACTTTCCAAAATTTTTAATCCTAAAATCGTTAATTTCATGTAGCTCATTTGCCATTTATACAACATTTCGAAATGCAGTACATTTAAAAAATATTCTGCGTATATTATACTTACCAATTTTTCATTGAACTGTTAACACACCGTTTTTCTCGCTTTTTCTGACAATTAATTTCAGTATTGGTTTTACACTTTGAACGAAATACCTAATTCAATTTTAAAAAAAAGTCCACCTAATTCAATTTTTCCTCTTTCTTCAAGGGCAGGAGAAATTTTGGACGTCGTCTACAAGAATTAAAATATTTACCTCATCCAAATTATAAGAACACTTTCGTCTAAATGAAGGCGCGAGCAACGGACTGTTATAAAAATTATAGCTTAGAATTTTGCAACGTAGAAACTATTCGTTTCTCAAAAATTAACGAATAAAATTAAATTTTAGTAGTAGTACTTAAGAAAACCGGAATTCAGAATAGCGGAAGAGCACAGAATTTCGACAATAGGTATACTATATATTTCGACAATAGGTTTTTGAAACATAGTACGTACAAAATTGCTTTTTGTTATTCTCCAATTGAATTAATGATTCTATGTTTAAGATTTTTAACAAGCAAAATAGGAACTGCGAATGCAGTTGAAATGACTCTTATTCTGTACTTGCTGTAGTAATTAGTATGAAGAATGAAAGAACCGTATCCATTAACTGAATTACAAAGTAAATTTATAAATCTTTATAAAAAGATTTTTCTTCGATTGCTAATGCAAAATGATTGCATTTAGACAATAACTACATAGTACAAAGTGAAAGGGTACAAACTAATTGAATTTGTTTTACGATCATGAAGAATACATTGAAACGCGTTCGTAGAAAACAGAAAGTTATGAAATCATAGATTTAACTCCACCAGAACATAATGGCCTAATAGAAACAAAGCTTTACCTTAAAATCAATTCAACTTTGGCATTTTCATTTAAAAGAAAAATCTTTCAGAAATTTTGGGATAGCAGAGTACTTCGAAGTTAATACTTTTTTCTAGAAGTTCCCTTTAAAGTAAGAAAAGTAAACTGCTTTCCACCACTGAAATTTATTCGACTAAATGATAAATATTTTGAAAACAAGGCTTTTAACTTTCTAATTTATATAAATTATGTATGCATTTCAGAAAAGCAACTGGATTTAATAAAGAAGAATTATTTCTGTAAACTTGCAATATAAGTATAATAGATTGCTTCCATAAAGTATTAGAACGGAATTTTTATCTATGTACCATTTCTCATCATTTAAAAATAATTAAAATAAGCATAATAATATTATTAATTTTGCTCAAGACCGCAATCATATGTGAATTTTCAATTCCATCTTAATAAGCAATAAAATATTTTAATTGATTGAGGCCTTCAAGAAATTGCTATATTTTTGGTTATACTTGATAAAATGGACCGTAGACATTAGAGTTTAAAGACAATCAGTAGATTCGTGGTATTTAGAAAAGTTTCTTCAATTTTAGAAAATGAATTAGATAAGAATTACTAAACGTTTATTGGTTAGTTTCAAATAACAAAAAAAAAAAAACTACTATAATCCCGTAAGTGAAGTATTTTTATACAATGCGCGTGATTTTTGTCCTTCCCATATTCATTTTTATGGAAAATGGTTGTATAAAGACGCTTAGAAATCGTAGATGAAAAGTCTTCCTTACAGTGTATGTGCTTTATCTATGGATATATAAGCTTTTGCGCAATAGACTATCTTTTGACAGATTCAATAAAAAATTGTAACGTTTAAAATCCTATTTCGTGTTTTGCTAACGGCTTATGAAATGCGTTTTCTCAGAATAAAAGAACGCGCATTTGTTTCCTTGAATTTCTTTTTTACACATTGCGAATTAATTCAGAGCTCTCTTTAAAATTTCGAAGTCGAAATTAGGATCTCAATTAACATTTCAAGTAGAAATGTAATGAAATTCAACTTATTCTGAATTCGTAATGAGTTGCGGACAATATGTACTCATTGCCATGAAATTTACACTTTTTAATTTGAAAAAAAATTAACTTGAAGTTTTAAAAGATGTGTTTATTTCTGAAATTCATTTTTATGGATATTTCTTATTTAACTACAAAATTTCGAAGAATTACAGGACACAGTTAAGATACTTTATATTGTCCAAAAAAAAGGCATTAGTCAAAAAAATCTAATCTTATGAATAATTATGATTAATTTTAAAACATTTAAATTTACACAAATGTATAATTAATTAATCTAAGGCAAATTTATCAGTACATTGGTATTGTCAATATTATTGCAATTTATGCATCGGTTTTTCCAGAAAATTCTTTGGGCATTCCATAGTGCTAATTGAAAATTTTTTTCTACTGCTTCTGTTAATCTATTTTCCTTCCTTTGTTCTTTTGTGATCTGATGTCTTAATTGTAGGTATCGAAGTTTGAATATTTATAATAAATTTATTATAAAAGAAAAATACGTATACTGCTAAGGTAGTTTTAGATTTGTTTAATACAAATGTATTTTTTAATTTTATTTAAAATCTCTATGTAATAGTAATATTTCACGTTATATTCTATTGTAGATTGTATGGATCATTATCGTGCACCATCATCATATAGAATAATTGTCTCATTCTTGGGAAAAAAATGTTAAAGCTTTAAAATTGTTTATCAATGATTTTACAAAAATAAGCAGTTTTTATGAAAACTGTTCAGCCATATTTTAATTGCATGATATACTTTTATTACGGAAATTTACGGAAATTTAAACATGAACTTCACTCGCAAAAATGGAAAATAAAATACTTTTTCGACTTCGACCTTGAAGAAAGTTCAATATTTATTCTTTTAAATCATAATAATAGCTAATGAACAACTGGAAATGCCTTCCAATAATACAAACAATTTTAAATAAATTTTGATAGTATTTATGAACGTGATAGTTTCGTGATTTAGTACTACGAGTATAATTACACTAGTTTAACGTAGCCAGAATATACCATTTGAGCGCTAAATATTGCTATTTTATGAAACATGAAACCAAGTCTGTCCAAAAGCATTTTGTATTGCCTGTAAATGTTAAATACTGAATTTTCGATTCGATTAAAATTCAGATAAGTGTTGAAATTTTTTTATATCTTTATTTACATACTTTTATATGTGTTACTAATTGTTACACTTTTAAGAAACGATAACAGAATTAATGCTGTTAAAATTTACCTTTTCTTAGTTTATATATTCAGATGTATGCAGTCTATTTGATTGACCTTTTTCCGTTTGCATTACACTATTAACTTAATGACAGACTAATTTAATATTTGCTATACATGTAGCCTGTTTGAAGCGTTCGAGAAAGAAAGATTAGAAATTCATTAAAGAGTTTAATTTTTAGGGACTACCATAGCACCTAAAAGTACTTTGAAAATAATTCTTTTTAATCATTAAGGTTTTCCGGACTTCAATTTTCTTGGAGTAAACCAAAATTCCGAATCAACCAATTTTGAATTAACGACAGTTTAATGCATTTAGTATCGCTACTAAATCTTCCGTAACAAAATGTTTTGCAATAAGATATTCAAATTTTAAGCCAATTTACTGAACTAACAATCAGTCAAAAATTTTTCTTACTATTTAAAATCGTGAATATATTTACAAATATATTTACAAAGCAGCTCTATTTTGACGAGACCTAGCAAACAATCATGTTATAGCAAAAGCAAAACCTCTTCAGAACTAAATTTGCTCCCCTTGTTCTAAGGCATTTCCATACGAGTTTAAAATCCTTGCTTCAAAGCCTTATTGTGAAAAATTACTAGTTTAATATGCATTCATATTAGGTTGTATAGCTTGATGGAAGAACACTCCTTCTACTCTTTTGAGGTCATTGCTCGAAAGCTGGCAGCCAAAAGCAATACCTTGATGTTTCCACGTGTAAACCAGAGGCCTTTCAGTGTTCACAAAATATAGAAAGAAAGGTGCACAAGTAGGCATAGTAGAAAAATGTGTACTAGCAACTCACTTTTTTTTTTTTTTTTTTTTTTTTTTTTTTTTTTTTTTTTTTTTTTTGTTCTTAAGTTTTTATTAGGGGTATAGTTGAATTTTAAAAATTCTTCATAAGTGTAAATGAGCGATGGGCATTGAAAGCTGTTGTGTTCTTCTAAAAAAATGTGAATATTATCCTGCAAATAGAGATCGATTATTTGTAATGAATGGCAATGTTTAGAAAATGGAGTATGTATATATTGTTCTATTAAAAATAAATCTTTTGTACATGCACATTTTGAATTCAACAAGGCGTTGTACATCTTAGTTGTAAAATAATACTTCTATATAAAACAAATTACTATATTTAAATTCTTAATTTATTCAGCTTATTTATCATTAATCTACATCTTAATAATGGTTTTAATGGAATGAATAATAACCAAACCTTTTCAGAATACATAGTGTTTTCTCCTAATTAACTGAACTCCTGAGTTAAAGCATTTCAGACATGCAAAATGCTGAGGTATTAAACTGCAGATTATATCTGTTTAATTTCATCCTTAATTGGTGAACGTCCTCGCTTATTTTTGAGTACATTCACCTCTAAATATTACTTCAAATAGAAGGAGTATAAATTACATACATAGTATCGAATTTTAGTAGCCAAAGAATTACTAGAAATAACGAGCTTTTTGTAAAATATAAGTCATACTCTCAACTCGATTCGTCATGAGATCCACGCATCAGATGAATTCATGAATAACATAATGTTATAAAATAGAAATATTAAAAATTAATTCTGAAAGGTTATTCCATATAACTAGAAATATTCAAAATAAAGCCTAAAAGACGAAATTTCAAAAAGCATGCTGTATCCAAATTATGCAAACTTCGAAAAATATTTTCTTTCCTTACATATGTATTAGAATACAGACTGTTTTGTTCTTAAAATAAATATCCTACTACTTATCATAAGAAAACAAAAGCTTGTGAAACATTCCATTTATCTTTTATTGGATATTCACGCCTGAATATTTTTATAGTTGCTATCTATGTGCATCTACTAACAATAGAAGCAATTAAATAACCCTAAGCGATATTAGAATTTAAAATGTAGTTTAAGATTAGTCTAGATCAGCAAGGTATATGTACATATCATAATTCTAAATCACGAAATAAATTTCGATCTCTGTTTGTAAGGTAAACATTAACTGAGAAGAAATACGGCCATTTTTGCGCCATAAATTAAATCTCGAAAACATTTGTAATCATTTGAGGTCATGGAGTAAAGCTAGAGAGCCCTTAGAGACGTGTTTTGTTTCATTTTAACCTCAGATAATCTTAATGTATCATATCTGTTTCACCAGAATGTTCTGCTAAACTTTTGTGATTTTTATAAACAGTGATTTATTTTATACGGAGAGGTTCACACAAGAAGTTAAACTAAAAGCGTGTTATGATCTTCTAGTTCTTCGAAGATGATGCAATTCTTCGACACACTGGTGATAAATTTTTTCTTCCAATTATATACATATAAATAAGTGAAAAACCTTGCTATGCAGTTTTTTCTATACAACCATACATTAGATAGTTTTTATTTTCCTCTTTTTGATGTCAAACTACTCCTTTATGCATTTAAGCTGAAGTAAATCTTATGTATGGAGTGTTATGTTAAATAATGTGTTTGTAAATTGATAAAATTTCAGTAGATAGAGCTCTTTTATACATTTTTGCGTAGGAGACTCAATCGAATTTGAGAAGAAGCAATAGATGCACAGAAAGAAAATCAAGGTCATTTAGAAATGACAGCTTATCGGATAACATAAATATCCTTTTCGCTTCTATCCTCTTCAAATGTGTTTAGCCTTTTAATTAGACCTAAACGGCACTATTTCTTTTTAAAATATAAATAACAAAAATTAAGTTGCCAATTTCTTAGCTCAAGGATCATCTCAGAAAACAAACTCTTGCGAAGCATCAGGATAGAAAAAAGAAGTCAGAAACCTCTTTTTGTTCAAGATTATGATTTTTCATGGTAATAAATGTCAGTCAGTGATTAAATTGTGTCAGTTATTAATTTTCGTTTTGTCATGCTATCATTCCTAATATTCCATGAATTGCCTTGGCTTTGGTTATACCAAATAAATCGTGCTTTAAAAATTGAATCATGTTTGCTATAGTCTTTTCTTGTAGATTTTTCTGCTTGAAGTACATTCCAATAAGAAATTTTATTTATGTCCAATTATATGCATGTTAATCTAAGTTATGTATGTTAATTTAAGTTAATCTAAGTTTAAAGTTTATCTTGCCCATCACTGTCATAAGAATGCTCTGGAATGTTCAAGATTAAAAAGCGTCTCTTATGTTGGTCATACTTCCACTTTTAATTATCTGTTGCAATATTAATTTAAATGTAAAAACTGCTTAAGTAAGCTGGCATGCATTTTAAGATGACTAGGTATCGTATGGATAACAGATTACTGCTCTTAAATATATCCAAGAGGATTAATTTTGTAAATGAATATTAAGTGATTTTGAAATCTTACAGTGAAGAGGAACATGGAAATATTTGCTTCAATTAGCAGAGAATAATTTTATGGAACTAGCAGTAAATGATTGTCATTTTTATGTAGTTAATCGTATTAACCATAATTGCTTTCGGTTAATAATTAGAAAATTAGTTTATACGAAACTCTGTAAAATAATCTACGAGTATAAAGCATAACATGTGTAAGTTACATCTCTCTCGCTTCTATAATAGTTAATAGCTACTTAATTGAATTTACAGAAATTAATCTCAAATGCAGGAGACACAATATCTTTTTCTTCTTTCAAATTAGTAATGATAATATTTTCAAGCGACAATATTATCAATTCAATAATATTTTTAAGATTCGAAAATATCACTGTAATTTTAGTTTCAATACATAGATGTTTTGACTGGGAATTGTCTGTCTCGTCTGACTATTTACATCTTTTCAACTGGTAAATATTCTTCCCAAGAATAATTTTTTTTATTCCGGACTTCACATTTCTGGCATATATATTTTGTAAATATTGTAAAATGGTTTAAATGCTTTGATTTACAAGTGCTTTTGTGATAAATATTGAAACGACATTTGAATCTACTATTTTTAACGGTGCGTTTTTATTCTTAATGCAGTTACTTATTATCTTCGGATATTCTTTACACTGGTTTTTAAAATTTCCAAAATTTTAATAATATAGCGTCAGATATTATTTCCTATGAACCTTTAAGTTTGAGGAGCAATTCATGTACACCTTGCACAAAAACAAAAAGGATCATTTCTACATATCCCGCTCTAATGGGTCGATTTATGAAGTTTAACTTGCGTTTCTCATGTCTCGAAAGCGCGACTTCAGACATATATTAGATTTATATAGAACATTGTTCTAACAGAGGTATTTTTACACAAAATCGGACGTTTTCGGAAATGACATGCCGTATATGTTTCCATATTTCGATTCTACCACTCAAATTGTGCCCAGATATTAAATTTTGTAAAATTTGGTGAGTCTTTTACCGAGAATTCAAAACTTTATCTTGGCGTGCATTTTTCAATCATGCGCCAAGAATATAGTTATTGGCGAAATTCTTAATTTATAGCAGCTTATTACCTGTTTTCTTTGTGCACAAGCGAGGGGAAAAAGGGTGCATCGCTTATATTTTCAAATAATTTCAATGGAGTACGTAAAGCACATTTGGCGTTATTATCGCTCATAACAAATATGCCTAATTTCAAAGCTCGCCAATATGTAAATCCACGTATAGCTTTTGAAATTTTGAATAAAAACTCTACATTTTTGAAGGTGTGCTTACAAATACATCTATTTTAAGGTGGTGGTAAAAATGTATAGACTATATCACAAAAAGTTTTTCGAAAATTTTATAAAACTTACTAAAAATACACGTCTTGAAAATAAATCAGAAAGTGTCTGCGAATTTTATTTGGATTGAATCTAAATTTCGAACTGTGAAAGAAGGAATCAAGTAAGCATAATTAAAAAAGGGAATATCAAAAAATATATGCCAAACTGAATTAATTAACAATGAGGAGCTAAAATTTTGAGAACTAATTTTTTGAAAACAACTGGTGCGATTTTTACAAAACTTGGCACTTTGGCATAATTTGAGCCGTAGAAACAAAATATGGAAAAACAATGTGTATGGTGTTATAGAAAAAGTCCAATTATGGATTCAAATACCTATGTTAGAACAATACTATGTATAAAGCTAACATATATCCTATGTCGCGCTTTCGAGACATGAAAAATGCATGTTAAATTTCGTCAATCGGCCCAGTATATCGGAAGATATAAAGATGCCCCATTTTGGGGGGGCAAGGTGTACGTACTGAAAAACGCTTCGAATATCTGTAATCACGCATGTATCAAATGTGTACAGTCAGTGCATCTTATGAATTTTTCAGATTAAAAACTACTAAATTCCATACGTGTGCGCAATGCGAAACTTACCACAAAATTTGTTGTTATTAATTCTAAACATCGATTAAGATAAGTATATAAATTCATTTACATTTAGTTATGGCAACACCTGTTTAAAAGAAGAGGAGGAAGCGAAATGGTTGTTAGAATTTTTTGGCAATAAGTAGATTAGTTGGTGGAATTTTTTGGTTCCCGGTTTTTATTTTCACTTTAAAACTCGATACACGCCGTGTAGATTTGGAATTCCGCGAGCGTAGTAGGCAGAAGTAATCAGTAGATATTTGGGAGTCAATGTATCAAGTAATAAGTTCTTTTAGGGGCCTTCATTGGTGCTAGGTTTTATTGAGTTTTAAGGGAAAAAGAAATTTTATAGTATAGGCTAGGAAATACGTCGGCATGTTTAACTAATAAAAGCATTGCTATGTATAGAAAGCTCTACGAGTAATTTGTGCACTGGTAAAGGCTGTTTGTTCCCCATACGCAGAGGCTGCACGAAGGCCTCTTGTACCATGAAGTGATGATATGTTACCTGCTATTTGCTAAACGAGAGCATGAATAAAAATATCCTAATCAATGTTGTCAAATGTCTGTAATTTCTTTTTACAACAGTTTTTTGCCAGTTCAAACAGTCTTATACATAAAAGCATGTTACTATGTTATTGGAAACAGATTAAGATTAATCACTTACCATAAAATTATTATTAACTGTCAACAAATATAATGAAATCTTATTATCAAACAAAATGTTATAAAACTATACATTCACTTCATCTGCCAAATCGCAATTTAATAAAAGCAAATTTAATGACTTTTTAATCTAAAGTATTTTTCTTTCTCCAACAAAACTTAAGCAAAGAATTTCGATTTAAAAATGTGTTAGCCCAATTTCGCAAACTTTCAAAGAGTCCAGAATTCTCATTTTTGAAATGTTAAAGAACTACCACGAAAGGAAGACAATTAGCTAGATGCCATTTGGCATGAAGTAAAATCAGGCGCTGTTAACAGCTTTAAAAAATCTGATGTGTACACCACATGACTTCCTTGTATTGGAATATTAAATTATACGCATTTTTTCTTGCATTTCATTTAAACTTATTGGATTGAATTAGTAAATCTACTTCGCCGACAGCGCATAAACCACAATAGAATAAATGCATTCTTTAAAATTCACTCTAGTATTTGTTTACCATAGCGACACTCTGGCGCTAGATTCACTTAACAGTATTAATAATTATATAACAGTTAACTTAGTAATAATTTTATAACGGAAACTAAGTTAACTGTTATATAATCCAATAATTATATAACAGTTAACTTATATATTTCGTTCATATTATAACTCATAATGCACAAAATTTATATCATTTAAAGAATAGAATTATCTAATCGTTTAAAGCAGTTTTATAAAAATTTTTTGAAGGAAAAGAGTATTTTATTCTGTCCTTACGTACAGATATCACGCAAAAACATCGTTAACATGCATTCGATAGCGGTCAAAATGGATATTTTCGTTGAAATATGCTGCCTGAAACTTTTCGCGATTACAATACTTCCTTTTTACTTCGTACAAGGAAGTAAAAAGTAAACTTCTTATTTCAAAGTGAAATCGAATGCAGAGCACACGTACTTGAAAAGAGTTGCAAAGAATACACTTTTTCCCCTGAAAATTAATTTACTCCATTTAATCTACTAAGTATTAAATACCTTTAGGCAATCAAAGCCACAAGTCTTTCAAAAGCAATTAAATCTTGATATAAAATACACTCTAGTGCAAAATTAAGGGAATTTGCAAATAATGTTTATTTTTATGAGACGTACTGAACCCAAGATACTATATTATGCCACCGAAGAACTATGGAAATATTCAGAGTCGAATACGTAAGCATACACGTTCGTATCTGGGGAACTGGTGAATGTGAAAGGAATATAAGCGCATGGGAGAGGGTTTTCGGCGATTTGTGTGCTCGTATTCCTTCACGACGCTCTCTGTGTTTCTCGCGAGAATTTAAATTTTATAAGATATGAGGTAAAATGAGTAGTCAAGATCCATACGGATGACGGAATGAAATGGGGAATTGTTGGTGGTTTAGAGGATGGCCAGTCGCAGGCGCAAGTAGTTGCACAGCTCATTATAACTCCCAGTGCTGTCCGCAAATTGTGCCAACAGATTCAGAACACTGGATTTATATCGAGAAGATCTGAACAAGGTCGACCAGAACGGTGAATGAGAATCGTCATTTTTTCACTTTCATAACTGCGATACAAATCTACTACAGTTTCACAGCACTCACGTGAGCTGTGTGCTGACACTGGAACACGATTTTTAGTCTACACTTGTCCGGAGGATTCATGAAGTAAGGCTGTATGCTAGAAGACCCCCCCTGTTTGCGTCTCGCTCACTGCAGCGAACAATATAGCACGTTTAGCATGGTGTAGACAACATACCCTTTGGACCAGACTTCAGTGGAGTACCATAATTTTCACAGATGAGTACAAATTTCGTCTGGGCACTCATTCTCGGCGTAACTGTATCTGGAGAAAGACTGGAACACCGTATCATCCGTCTCTCATCAGGAGAGAGGATCATTTTAGTGGTGGGACTGTAATAGTTTCAGTAGGCATTATGTCGGACGGCGGCACACTCATGCATGTGTTTGATAGAGACAACCTATGTTTGACAAAGGCTGTTATAAGGTATACAGAAAACATCTTAGAGCTCTCTGTGCAACTTTACAACGTCACAGTTAGCCCCGGGTTTCTGTTAATGGATGTGAATGGATTGTGAATGGCACATCTCTTTATCATGTTTTGAATGGTATAAATGCACATTCTTACAATTTCATTAAAACATATCCATTAGTTTTACAGAAATTCGACATGATGTGCAAATTCTTTTAAATTTGTACGCAAGTGTATGTAGGCATGAGTCACATACAAATACTATTAGTTTACAATAATGCAAAAATTCTAAGTTAGATACATGAAAGTAAATGAAGACTACGGCTCAATTCAAAAATTTCACATATGAACATATCTCCAGACGATTCATCTACCCACGTCAAATTTATTAACCTGGAACAGTGTATTGATATTGAAATTAGCACTGATTCTGTTATTGAAAAGAAAGAAAAAACACTTAAAATTACATTACATTTGCAGATGTTCTTTCTGATATAAAGACTGAAATAAATAGAAGTTGAAATAGAAAACAAAATATCTGATACTTTCAAAAAAATTATATTGAAATCTGGGGATAGAATTTTTTTAAATATACACACATTTGAATATCAGATTTCTTTTCTAAAGAATAATTCATTATTCACAATAAATTTAGAAATCCGTTGCTATTCTTTATATGTAAGAAACTGTTTTCTCACTTTTATTTTCATAATAAGTATACAAAATAATATTTTCTTGCATACTTAATGTATACATTTTCTATCCCTGAATTTAAAAAAAGGGATATTGATTTAAAAAGTTTAATCGTCGATCTCGGGCGTTTTATTAAATCTAAATTCGATTACATTTTGAAAATCTTCGAATCTTTGCACTGCAGT